CAGGAATGTTTTTTGTTGGAGGCATGCTTCCTTTTCTTAGGGTTAGAAGGAAGATCAAGAAAGAAATGCATGCAAGAGAACAAATCTGCAACTAACAAGTCTGTGAGGCAGTAAGTAATTAATATGAAGTTCTACATGGAGGAAATAAAAATCTCCAAAATGCCACCTAATTTTCCAAACTGTGTTTGTTGATTTTTCCTTCATTAAGTAAAACAGTAGAAGTAGTAATAATAAAAATGTAAAGACCTGAAGAAAAAGCCCTTTCACTTCTTAAGGCTGGAATACGAATTTCTGATTTTGACAATTATTAGTCATATTAGAGTTGTTAAGGAAATAAAATCACTAGTAGGCAGAGGGGAATTCAAGAGATAAAAGTCAAGGGAAATAATAAATTGAGTGGGATTTAGATATGAAAGATACAGCTATAGCTAGCAGTAAGAAATTCCAGAGACATAATATATATCTAAGTATGGTAAAACCAGAAACACTTAAGGCAGAGAAAAATTAAGCTGTTTCATCAGACACAAAAAAAGTTTCCACACCACTCCTTATACTCAGGCATGAAACCTTGTCAATAGCTCTCATTCTCTTGAGACCAGGCTAGATGACAATTCAAAATTCTTCATTATTCAAACAGTTCAGTTAGTCACTGTCAACCAAAAAGACTGTATTTGCTGTTGTGGAAGGCGAATATCGTGCATATAACACAGAAGAGAAGTCACAGGATACAGAGTGAGTTTTATGTAGGAAGCGTATTACGCATGGAAGATGGAAAATTACAGCTGTGATTAAGAATCAAGACATGAAAACGTGAAGAAAAGCTGATCTGTACCTAAAACTAGTTTGTTTGGTTTTGGTTTTGTTTTTAATGTTAGAAACTATATTACTTATATACTTCAGTATTTTGGATTTTTTTTTTTAAAAAAAAAAATCTTCAAACAGTGATGAAGGGAAAAATAGTATGCAGGATGACAATGTAAATAACTGCCAGTCCATTTTCAGTAGTAACACTAGAAGCTGGATGTCATTTGGTCCTCTACAAGCTTATAATCTTCAAAGTATCACAGATGAAAAAAAAAAACCAACAAAAAAATTAATGTTTCTTCAAGCCTACTTTAAGCTGAGACAGGTCACACATTAGTTAAGATACCTGCTCCCTCAAAACAGCTGCGCAATGGGAAGAGGAACAGGGTTCGGATGAATGCATGCGCCTTCAGGAATTTTTTGCATGTCCATGCGCCTCAGTCAAGTATTGAGCACACATGTAACACAGATGACTGAACATCACAGAAAGAAATTTGAGCTTATGTGACATCAACATTAGCATTCAAACCACTTCCAATCCTTGACATATTCTACGTCTCACTGAGTTTTAAGGGAAAGAATGTAAAGTCAATGAAGCATTTGCCAACCCCCATCATGTGAACATCAGGGAACATGTTTATCCTGTATTACTAATGGCTCCCACAGCAGTGAGGTATTTTCTCAGGGCAGAAGAAAGAAATACAACTTGTAGGACACAAATCACAAAAATATATTAAATTATGTACAGGCTAGGTAAAAGTTTAAGTTGTTCCCAAATGAATACGACACTCAACAGTCACAAGCGTAGCCAAACTACAGCATCCAGTTTTAAAGGAATTATAATTTGCCTTACCTCTGTCAAAGTTATACTGCTGGGAAATGATTTCTCCCCAGTATTTAGCACATTCTGCAGACAGTTTCTTTGGTTTGTCTAGACGACGAATTGCTAAAGCTTGGATGTGTTTTTGGAAGGCCTCTTCTGTCATATCTTCTATGCATTTCTCCATAGTTTTTAAGAACGCTTCAACTCTGCTTTCTAAATAGTGTGGTGGCTTTTCAGATTGGATAATAAATCGCAGTCCCTGTATGCCATTTGCCCGACGTGGACCACTGAACACGATGTAACCTTGGCAAAACAAGAATAGTCACAAATTAAAAGAAATCCCTTGTTCCAGCACTAAGTTTGCCAAACATGGCACGTTTGACAGGAATACAATTTTACGTTTAATTCTGTATTATAAATTAAATAATGCAGGTTTTCAAAACAGTGCCACTGTATTTTTTTAAAAACCATCTTTATTTCACTGAGGTAAATATCAGTTCAGGGGAGGGGTGAGGAGGAAATGAGGCAGACCAAGACAGAAAAAAAAGGAATTCTGTCATCAGGTTAGGTAACCAGAAATTAAGCTGTACTCTAGTGCTTCATTAGACTCAACATCAGGAACTCATTATTATTTTTGTTCATAATGTCTAATCTGAATTCTCTTTGATGCAGTGTAAGACCACTATTTCTCATCTTATCAATTAGATACAAAGAAAATTTCCTTCCTTTTTGTTGCAGCTTTTGCTTATCTGAACAACTAAGCCTTTCTTCAGTCTTCTTCTGCTCTTTTAGTAACAAATCTGTCACATTTCAGTCTTTTAAATGTTGTTTTATAGCTCTCTAATCATTCCTTGATGCTCATGTCAAAACTGGACACAGTATTTCAAAGTCCTTACCTGAACAATACGTGACTATTATTGTGTGTGCATCTTGGAAGCTCCCATTTATATATTCCAGCGTTTTACACAGCAGCGTGACACCGCTGATTTACGTTCCACTTCTGATCCACTGTAACCTGTAGATTGTTTTCTACTTAACTGCTACCTAGGCAGTTGCTTCCTAGCTTGTATCTGTGCCATGATTATTCCTGCCAAACTGTTCCTACCAAACTGCATCTTCTCTCCATTCAAGTAATTTCCAAAATGTCAAACTAATTTGGAATTCTATCCTCCCACACATTTGCAGCCTCTCACAGATTAGTATTATCTGAAGATTCAGTAAGTACAGTTACTCTTCTATCATCCAGAGTTTTGATGAAAGTACTAAATAGCACTGGATCACAACAGAGCTCTGTAGAACACCATTTTTCAAATGAACTACTGTTATCTATTCTCCACTCGTGACTTTCCAATCAGCCTTGCATCCAAACGTGTAGCACTTCCACCTATGCACTCTCTCTAGCTTGTCTGAGAATATTACGTGCCTTTCATACTACCAAGACGACATATGATATCACCACTTACATCCATACAGCCAAGCTCTGCATAAAAAAAAGTTAAGTTAGTTTGACCTGAGTTTGTCCAGTAACAGTCTCTCAGTCACCTTTTATGAATTTAGAACTGGCTCGATAACTTATTCCATGTTTTCCAGGAATTAGAATTAAGCTGACTGATCTGTAATTTCCCTGCCCTTCTCTTCCCTTTTTTAAGGAAACATATATCAATTACCTGTGTTTATTTTTCCAGTACCTCATCTATCATCCACAAATTGTCAGTTATAAGCCTTCTAATTCCAGGATTTCATATTTTTTTTTTTTTTTAATGTAATGTAGAGTTCAGGATGCCTGAACTCTTTAAAAGCTTCTAATTTAACTGAAGAACCTTTAATCTCTTATTTTCCTGTTCAAAGGTGAGCCTTGGAGTTTGATCACCTGTATTTATTTTGGAAATCTTCTGGTCACAGTTGACATTTTAAGTGAAAACTAACAAAGCCAACCTAAAACATTTTGACTTTTTTTTCCCACCATTGACAACTTTTTTCTTCCTCTTTCTTGTACTGCTCAAGCATTTATTGAATGAGTTCTTGTTACTACTACTACTGTTTAGCAAACTGCTAACTCCCGAACTTCTTTTTCCCTTAGCTTTCTCAGCAATCATTAACAATTCCATGAATTTTACTGAATTTTGCTGGTATTTCTACTGTCTTCCCTTCTAAGTCTTGTTCACTCTATCATTTGGTAGTTAAGCAGCGTTGGACATGCTCACATAGTTCCTCCTCACTGGTTCTCCCTGCTCCTCTTTAGCTGTTACCTCCAACTTCTATACAAAACCTGCCACCAGGACATTCCAAAAACCTGCTAAATAACCTGGGCCCTGTCCTACTTTCAGCACATATCTAGGTAGTTAAAGTCCCTATGACGAATATGGTATGGCTGATTCTGCTAGTTGCTCCCAAAAGGTCTAATCCTGCCTCATATGCCTTGTAGTTCAAAGTCATCACACTGAGACATTTGCCTGCCTCCCACCATTGGAAAAAACTGCACTTCTCATCAGTATTTCAGTCATTCAAACTGTCATGCAAAAGTGTCTGTCTCTCCTTGTTACCCTGTTTGGAATAACCTCATTAGTTCTCAGTCTTATTGGCACGGCAGCTTACCATTACCCATACAGCAGTATTGCTAAGATAGGGCTTATGAATCATCAAGCACACCTGGAAGTAGGATCACAAGCAGAAAAGCCCCATCTACTACTGATTCATTAAGATCTAAAATTTAGGAAACAGATCTAATCTCCTTTTGGTAAAAATTCTAGATACGAAATTTTCCGTACAATGATCCAATGTGGGTTTTTTCTTTACGCCAGAGTTGGTTTCAGATATTTCAGGCTTATCTTAAAAATCATGCTTGCTTCTTCTCAATTTAGAGTCTCTGCACAGCAACATTCCTTTGAGTCATCTGCAGTTAAAATGATTTACATTTACCAAGTGCCCTTTAAATGGCATCCAGTAAGCAGGGAAGGAACACTTCATCAGGGCTCATGTAAGTGCGGGAGTATACATGCATGTGTGTACACAGACATAATCACTATGGGAAAACTTACCTAATTGTTCCTTGGTGCGCAGAGTATTGAAGCATGGTTCTGAGATAATTTGACAAAAGAGCTCCAAAAACATATTCTCAGAAGTGCTCTGCATGTCTGTCTGGTAATATATTTCAATGCCACAATTGTTATGAACTTCATTTCTCTGTTGATACACAAACCAACCTCCTAAAAGACAAAGTTAAACACTGAAGTTCATAAAAATGTACGTTCTTATTGTCCACAATTAAAAGATGATGGTCTATCACTTGTGGAATGGAATTATAATAAACTGTTTAGGACTCTTCAAGCAGAATTGTCACTAACAGCATACTTTTCATGAAACAAGTAAAGAAAAATTATTTTAACACATCGAAATGTCACAGCTTGAGCATATCAGCAAGTAAATTGAAACTGGCTGCTTCTCCTCAAGCAACTATTTTTGGAACTGGAGTGGAATTCTGCATTGCCTCTACTGTGTAAATAGTTTCTAAAGATAATTTGTCAGAAACATTTATGAACATTAAAAATAATTCAGCATTTAATACCAACAGCTTCTTTGGTATATGGTAGTTTCCACAGGCTGACGATCAGCTATGGTTAATGGGCATTGGCTGTATAGCTACATATGTCATCACTTCTGTAGAACTCCCAGCAATTCCTTGAACCTCCTTTCTTATATATTTGATTTTTTTTTTTTGCACAATAGAAGTAAAATCCTACTCAAACACTGTAAGACCAAAAGAATTTATATTAGAAAAAAACAAAAAGTTAATTGTGTAAGAGCTTTTCGTCTTCTCAAAAAGCAACACTCATTTAGGACAATCCTTCACTGAATGGTCAATTAATACTCAAAAGTGCTTAAAGAAAGGTGCTTATTCAAATGTGTATACTATGTGTGGCAGAGAGTGGGACAGCGCTCCTATTTCCATAAATCATACAGAGTGAATTAGGGCTGAATCATAGACTCATAGAACTATCGAATGATTTGGGTTAAAATGGGCCTTAAAGACCACCTAGTTCCAACCCCCAAGTAGCCAAATTTACATACACATATTAAAAATGAAATCGAATTAACTTTCTAGTATACCAGAAAGATTATATATTAGTGTATAATTTTATTAACAAACCTACACCCTAACTATATTCTTAAATTTAAAGTTTAAAATAATTTGAAGTAAATCTAGTTTCAAAATAAACTCCTAGCAACAGAGCAATATCATTTTAAAATGCCATTAGCAAACAGAGAATCTCAATTTAATGTACATTAAAAAACTGTAAATAAATCATTTAACTTACTGTCAGGAAGTTGCACTTCTCTGTATCTCACTAGTTGACTGGGAAGGAGTGGCTTTGTATGAGCATGCTCAATGAGAGTGTCCTCAACCATCTGCATAATTCCTAATGCAGCCTGGAAGAGAAAACATAAGAGCATTTTTAACGATCATTAGTTATTCTGTACCTAACAGCAGGGTAAGAATTTGCAGGAAAGAAAAGAGGAAAGAAAAAAGAAAAAAAAAAAATCAGGAAAAGAAAGTAGGGATATTGTAATATAATAAAAATACAGCAGAAGTTAAGGAGATGAGAGGAAATGGGGGCTCGGGGGCAAAGTTTCGTGGGTTTTTTTTTGTTTTACATTTATCTTGTCTACGTGTTTAACTACTACTGCTCGACCCCAGCACTTCTGAAATTAAAGTTCAATGGACTTTTTTTCCTTTCCCTTCACCGCTTTGACGTACTCATCTTCCAAAGTTTGAAAATGAGATACCTACAATGTATGTTTGCAACGCAAATGACATGTCAGCAGATGGAATTTTAAAATAAAAAAAATTAACGGTTAAGTTCAAACATACATTCCATTGATGTTCTAGTAGTATTAGGACTCACTGCCCAGATACTTCGCTTTATTTGATGGATTAAAATAATAATATATATTTTTTTAAAAATCATAAATAGTGAAAAAAATTTTAAATCCTTAGTTTCACTCAAGAATTTAACTTCAAAAGCTTTACCTGTTACAGGTTATGTATTCATGTAGCCCCTGCATACTGGAAATTACAGTGACTTGCTACAAAGCAGTTTTGGCTGAAAGCCAGAATCTCTTAGCCTTGCACTGCCACAAACCCACAATACAAGTGATCTTACCAAAAACATGCAAGAGGTCTGAAGACTCAAACACAAACTCCCCGCAGCACCCCCCAAAACCCCCAGTCAGTATCAGACAAAAAGACTAAGGTCTAACAAAACACAGTTTGAAAGGTTTGAGAAAAAAACCCTACATATTCTGCCAATCAAGTCACCATATTAAAACAAAGTGTTTACTGTTCAGACAGATGTTCTGAACAGAATTAGTTTACTATTCATGCACTTGCAGCAAATAAATAAAAGGAACAAGCAAAAAACAAGTATCAGAATGAAATCAATTCAAGAAGAAATGGGAATTTTAAGCATCTAGATAGGTGTAATTTTTCAAAAAGTACAGATTCACTAAAAACTTTTTCAGTATTGAGAGTTGTCATGAGAGTATGTAAATTTTTATTTAATTTCAGTTGAAAAGAATTCTTAGATCCAGGTTAAAATTTCTGAGTTTTGTGAGTGATGATCACTGAAGGACAGAGAAAGTTTTCCCACCCACGTATTTTCAGGGAGGTCTGCAGATCATTTCTAATCATCACACAGCTATGGCCATAACAGTACATCCTTCCCAGTTCTCTAGCTGTAGGACTCTTCAATAGCCACCCATTATGCCAACTACAGAATGCATTTCTCTGCTATGACAGCATCACCATTGAAATCTAAAAAACTGGTCATTCAGTTGTATTTCAGAAGGAACTGACTTTCATATACAAATGTGTAAGAAATAAGGAAGGAAACCAGTGGGACTATTTTTTACATTTCTCCACATTAAAAAAAATTAAAAAATGTAGACACATCCTTGAAAAATAAAACTTTGTGCATCCAGTCCTATTGGCTCCTTCGTCTTTTTATTTTTCCCTTTCTTACTAGTTAACTTTCTTCTCCACACATTCAGCAGTTGCTACCAGTGTTTATAACATTTCCTGCTAGTGAAGGACACAGAGATGGTATAGCATAGAAATACTGCTCTACCAGCCCTACAAAAAAAAAGAATGCAAGAATGTGCAAGAAAGGTATTACGTTTTTTATTGGTACATATATTCAAATATTCAGTTAGATATCCTATACAAATACAAACCGTTACTATTTTAATGGAAGACAGAACAAGCATTTTCTGATTTTTACTCCCAAAAAGACACAACTGACAGCAGACATTTATTTTTGGTGGCCCACCATTCCTGTTTAGCTTTGTGTAAAGTAGTTCATTTGGAAGGATCTTGGATTCTTAAATCTTTGCTAGTTAGCCTGAAACTTTTACATGCAAAAGCAGGATCTGCAGCACATCGTTCCTTATGCAGCTTGATCATATCGCCATAATGACATGCAACATAGACTTTAAAATATTTAGCTCATAAGTTGTTTTTTATTAAATTTCCAAGAGCAATACAAGGACATGACTTAGCTTAATAAACCTTAAGTGAAAAAAATAACACTATGATACTCCCATAAAGATAAAAACATATGAAGTCAAATTATGAAATTGCATTTGGCAAAACTGCTCTAAGATCTGAGAAGATTAAACAACTCTTCCATTTTTTATGATGCTTTTAAATAAAAATAGTCTTATTAAAGAAAGTATCACACCAACCTGTTTTGTTATATTGCCATGGAGAAGAGCTTCAATGTGTAACCGTGACAACAGTTGAGCTATAAAGGCCTTGAGGCGGGGAAGAGTGACATCTAAAATAGATATTTAGACAGGTAAATCCATTACATGCATTTGTACATTAAGAAGTACTCAACTCATCATTAGATACTGTGCATTTCTTAGAGGAGAAACTCATCATCGTGAAACAGTGAATCTCTCCTTAAAAATGCAGCACTGGAAAGTTTCCAGGTCTGAACAGTAGCACTCATCATATAGTTTGTTTCGCTTAGAATTCACACACTGTCTGACCCAGATTCCAAAAAGAAAAGAAAAAAGCCTTCTTTCCAATCATGCCAAAAAAACATTCATTCTCCAGAGAAAACAGTTGCGACCGTTCAGGTGGTGTTCCAAGATAAAGCCTTAGTTATTAACTAAACAAGCAGCATGTAGTTTATAACACTCGAGAAACACAGTGTGCATTTACCATCCAGACTGAAAAAAGAACCTCAACTCAAATGCAGTGTTTTGATAGTATCTTTGCAACAAACAATAAACAAGAAAAGTATTTTTTCAATATAGCCCAGAGTACACATACACACACATTCTATGTTAGTCTGTCTTTGCAAGCAATTTTCATGTATAATGCAAAGTACACCTTCACATATAGAATCAATGGAATGAGAGAGGAAGGATGGTTGAATGGATAGGGGGTTCATCCCAAAGTTAACATCTCCATTCTTAATTCCCTGACTCTACAAAAATACCCACACTATATTACCAAATCTATTAATTACTCATTTTGTCACTCTCTCAACTAAAATAAAAACTAAAAACACTGGTGTACTTCACAAAAGTTTTGAAGAGACAAATGCAATTAAGATTATGAGGTCATTCAGTTATTCAGTTGGATGCATACATATCTAACAGATTTGTGATTTATATTAGAAAAACCTATACTGTGCTTATCAGTCTTTCCCTCTCTTAAAAGAGGTAACTGACCACCAGTAAAAACATTCATTTCCACGTTTTTCCCTGGTTCCAAATCAACTCTTTATTGTTGTATAATCTTAACCTTTATTTTTGCCTCTAGAAATTCTTATTAATAGTGCAAAAGATTAGTCACATTGAGTGAGAAAAATAAAAGTTAAAAAAAAATTACACATACAAACTCCCTGTATTTCAAGCCAATGTCCAGCAGTGCTAAGTAGACAGCATTCCTTTCCAGCATTCCATTTTTAGCCACACTTATGCTGAATATGGTAGCGTTAATCTTATAAAGGCAACTTACACATGGAACAGAAAATCTCTTATTTTTTCAAAATTCAGTAATCATTAAAAAAGGAATGACCTACATACAGCTGAACCCACTGCCATGAAAACCAGTGTTAGTTTTGTCATTGACTTCACAGGCAGCACTGGCACCACTGCTGACCTCAGAGGCACCTGCAATCATTCAAGAAACTATACAACTAAACATTTATATTTCTATCCTGGAGCAATCCTGTAATAGCTTTCTAGCAGCACAGAGGCTTCCAACTCTGGTTTGTGGCCCATGCTGTGTGCATTGGTGTAGAGGCACCTCAGCTGGGCTGTCAGTTGTGTCACCTTCTTAGAGGAGCACCCCTTAATTCCTTTGAGATATTTCACTGGTGTTCCCCTGTTGGCTCCTGTTACCTCAGGAGCCCCTGGCTCATCTCCATCAGACTTCAAGCGTGCTGCAGCATAGCCAGCATGCCTCAGAGCAAGAGGCTGAGGGCACTTGCTAGCACCCCATGTCTCTAACCATGGCGTGTCATCCCACAGCTTGTCATAAGCATGCCTGATTGTTATCCCTCTCCCCCTTCAAGTCTAGTTTAAAGCTCTGTCAATGAGCCTCACAAGCTCCCGGCCAAAGACCCTCTCCCCCCCTCTGAAAAAGGTGAATCCCATCTGACACCAGCAAGCCTGGTGCTGCGTAGGCCATCTCATCATCAAAAACCCCAAAACCGTGGCAGTGACACCAGCCATGGAGCCACGTATTAATAGACTTGGTCCCTCTATTTCTTCTAATGCTGCTGCCTGCAACTGGAAGGGGAGAGGAAAAAACCTGTGCTCCACATTCCCTCACCAACCGTCCTGAGGCCCTGAAGTCTCTTTTGATCACTCCTGGACGACGTGTTGCAGCTTCATTGCCACCCACATGGAAGAGCAGTAATGGGTAATAATCTGAGGGCCATACCAAGCTAGGGAGTTTCCTAGCAATGTCCTTAACTCAAGCCCCAGTGAGGCAGCAGACCTCCCTAAGAGGGGGTCTGTCCGACATACTGGACCCTCTGTTCCCCTCAGAACGGAGTCTCCTACAACTATTACCCAATATTGCAAGATATTTTGCAAACTGCCCCAGTAACAGCCTTTTGTTGCAACACAGTAAGATACGGGTAGGGAAGAGTCCTTCATCTATTACTAAAATCAATTAAATATCCTAATTTGAAATTTCTTCTTCATTCAAATACAGTGGGGTGCTTGCTCTTTGTTAAGAACCACCATGTTCTTTATTCTTTATTAATGTTATTATCTACAGAAACTACCTTTCTTTATTATCTACAGTTCTTTATTATCTATAGAAACAGGAGTTAAGATTTCCTGATAACGGAAAAAACAAAATAGCATGCACATTGGTAAGTACAACGCAGATACACTCCGATGTGTCTGCACAATGTCAACTGGAGCCAAATGATTTTAGCAGTGTTGGTTAAGCACTGGAACTACCATACCCAGGCTCACCCCACAAAGCCATTCAAGTTTTGCCTGAACTTTTACCTGCAAGTTTTGCCATTTGAGGCCTTTTGCCAGAACTACAATACTTTCTAGAAACTGGAGGACAAGTGCAGAGGCACTGACATCCATCAGCATCAGCTCACATCTGGCACTGCAGGGGCTTCACTTGAATAACGGGCAGAGTTCAAAAAAGGTACCTTCACTAGTTTAGTAAGAAGATATTTTCGATAAGAAATAACAAAAATGATAAAAACTGGCAGAATATTACCATCTAGAGCTTCTTTTAATTCATCTTTGGTCCAAGCAACTTCTGTCATCAGGAGTCGAAGATAATACATTGCATGCTGGTGAGGCTGTTCAGCCCTGAAGTTGTTAAGCGATCTCATGTACTAAAACAAAATAATTAAGTTAAAATTGTGGAACTCTATTTCTAAACATAAAATATTAACCTTGTACTCTCAACTTCATGTACCATCAAAAAGTGTCAAGAACATCCTCTTGCTTGTTAGACATGTTAAAAAATTGTGTTAAATTACCTTAGTAATAACATGGGCTTCTGAGCCTACGGATTAAGCAGTAACCATTAAGATAATTGAAATGAGCATGAAATCAAACTTGTCCATAAAATTAATGACTGGAAATTAAATTATTGCAGTTAGACCTAAATAAGTATTTAGATCAAGTTGCCCTACCCAGGAAATATGCATTCTGTGACGACTGTCTGGCAGAGGGGTAGGGCAACATCGTTAATAGAAAATTTATTTTTCTCCCAGTTGCCTCCCTGGGATGACTTGGTTAGAAAAATACAAGACCATCTGGGAAATTCTTTGCATTCTTTGCCTGGATAAAGGAGGTATGAGAGAATAATCAAGTGAGCTTTTCTAAAGAAACTCCTTTCTAGTCCAGCTGAACCTTTACAGAATAAGCAAAACCTTTTTCCTCTACCAGAGGAACTGCAAAGCACAAACTAGTAGTTTTGGCAAGCTGGGATCATTTCCAGTACAGGAGGAAAGTAACTCATTTAAAAGCATGAGTGAGAAACAGCAAGCATGAAGTTGCTGATGATGAATCCTTCTATCTGTTCCAAACAGAAGCCAGAGGCTTGTATCTCCCTTATCTGTTAGGTGTAGGCATGAGGGGAAAAACTGCAATCTCCCCATCTGGTTCGACTTTTTTGTATTTTGTCCTTATTTTACACACACAAAAGGCTTATGTAACGAAAGTCTACAAAATGACAAAACATGCACAATACAAAGTTCAAGTTAACTGTAGAGACAATCAGGGAAAAATATCTTAAACTAAAAGAAAATAATCCAAAATAGACCATTCACAGATCTGTGGGTTGGGGTTTTTTACCTCTACATTTGTCACATCCCGTTAAAACTTTCTAGACAATGAATCTGTCTTAGGTACACAGAGCCCTAAATAAAAGCGCTGTTGTAATGAATCTACCTCATGTTTGAGGTCCACCTGCTTAGAATTTCCTACTAAACAGTAATGAACTAAAGATGGCCCTGGTGTCTGTCTAGGCCAGCCATCAGCAGCAGAGGATTAAAGTAACACTAGAGCAAGCATGGAGTGATCTTCCCTGCAGCCCGAGCTCTCATTTACTGCAGACTATTTGCAAGCTTTCTGGGCCAGAAGTCAGCCAGTTCCCCAACTCCAGTCTAGTCCTTGTGCACTCACTCATACCTCCACAGCAGCTCATTGCTGTGAGTGCCAATATCCAATTTGTTCATTTCCTTTGTTTTACCTCTGTCTTGCTCTAAAGAAAGCGCCAGAAGAACCATTATGTATCTTGTTTGGCTCAGCAAATGTAATCATTGTTCATAAACTTACTTCAGGAGCTAATCTGAATAACATTCCATATAGAGAGAGGGATCGCTCATTAAATTCAGGAAGTGAGAAGTCAGCATATACTTAACCAGCTAGTTACTTTTGCACCAAAGGATCTTGGCCCAGGAGCAGAGCTCCTCTTCACATCTGAGAAGATATGTTGCAAATCTCTTCAACACTTCCTTTCCCCCTTCATCCATTTTCCCCTTCTTTCATTGCTAAATGCCGTTGGGACATTTCCAAACTGTGAAACGTGATATAAAGTTAAGATTTCACCCCCATCCCTCTTCTTAGATTTCTACTCCTATCAAAGCAAGTTGCAATCCCTTGATCAATCATAAGACAGACCGACCGGAAGAAGATTCCAGGGTCAGTTATTTTTAACCAAAGAATGCAATACAAACACTCTGGGGAACTCAAGGCCACAAAAAAAGACAAGAGAAAAAAAAGCTTCTGCAGTCCCAATGAGGCAGAATTTCACTTTGTATTTCCACGGATAACCAGCCCTCAGACTTAATTACAAGTCAATGCATTCAATTTAAAATTAATCCAAAATGGAAACTTCTCATGTAGCTTACCGCTTCCTTGATAATTTCAAATCGTTTTTCATCAATCTCAAAAGTAGCCATTTTCTCAATGATCTTCTTAAGCAAGATATGTTGCTTGTCATTATAACCTTTTACAGAAAGCTATGGAAAAAGCGCATAATTTGCTTTAAATATGGAAGATAAAAGAACAAAACTATTACCAAGTCTTGTATAATTCAGAGAACAACACACTTTTCAACACTTACTCTAAATTCAACATTATTCAACATTAACTCATTCTGAAATAAAATCCCTTTACCCATCAAAAGATAACTAACTGATGAATAAAATATTGCATATTTGCCTAGGAGTTACGAATGCAGAGAATTAATGTAATTTCATGCTGATGTAAGCGAATTGTACTCAGAATACAGGTTTTTAATAATTACGAGTATTGAGTCCAGTCAGTAAACTGTGCATGTGGAGTACTGCAATAGTTTTACTCTAGGTGTCTCATTTTAGTAATGAAATCTAGATTCACAGCCTTCTTAAGTATTCTCTCCCATTTACTTTAAACCTTGTTTCATTTTTATCTTGTTGCTCAAAATAAAATTTTACGTAAGTGGAAGTAAGCAGTACTACAAGAAAACGGGTACTTCAACAGCAACACAGTTTATAACAAGGATGGTGCTGGGCTGAAACACCAAGGTAGACAGTTGTAATGATCATACACAGTTTTTTGAAAGTATACATGAAATAAACTTACGCCATTTAAAAAAACAACACAAACTTAAAAATGACTACATGATTGGATCAAGCTACAGAAGGCCTTTTGGGGGGGGAAGAAAACTTCAAAATTTGGTATCTCAAAACAGAAATTTAATGTGCAGTTTAACTATTAAGGGTAAAAACTAGATTTTAGGACACAAAGCAACATACAGGTAAACTCCAGCTTTTCAGTAGGAACAATTTTTTCTTCCATAGTTGCTGAAACGTACCTGAACCACGAATTTGAAGAAAAAGCTATCATAAATGGATCTATGACAAAGGCTGACATCCTAAATTAGCATAAGAACCCAAACTGTTCAACAATCATCATGGGTGTCTGTTTGCAGTGTAGCATCTGTCCTTGCTTAATCAATCAACATTGTACAGTTACACGTATTGACTATAAAACTTCTCACGATATAGAAAAGGATATTAGAAGTTCCCAGATATCAAAATGGAATAAACTGGTTGTAATACATAAAAATAGAATCTTTACAATAGAAGAATATAAAGACTCCACAAAAAACAGTTAACATTTAAAGTAACTCTAACTTCTGAACTGTGGCTAAAAATGAAGCCTTTTGCACACACGCCTTTTTTTTTTTTTTAAAAAAAAAAAAAAAAAAAAAAGGAATTCACTCTGACCATGGAAATGCCAGCAAGCTTTGAAACTGAGAATAGATAACCATGTTTGCAGTAAGTGAATGCTACCAGGATATGAGATTTCCGTTGGATAAAACGGAAATTGCAGCACTTACTTTCATACAGATAATGTGAAGACAACATACAGTATATTTTCTTACCAAGATGTTTTGGAAAATAGTACTTCTATAGGTAATTTTAAAACACATTTTGGTATACAATGATGGTTAATAAAAGCTTTTAACAGAACTTCAAGAGAGACTATTAAAATCTCGTATCATAAATCTCATAGGAGAAGTTGAGTAAGAAATAATCATTTATCATAAGATCAGTATTTATCAAGTAAGTATTGTCAGCACTTTAAAACAGATTATAAAACACGTAATAAAAACAACACTAAGGAAAAGCCATGAATATCCAGCATAGCATTCTAATGAACACATGCACAATCCATTTCCACAGCTCACTACAGCAGAATTAGAGAATTATAACAAAATCTGTAAAGTTGAGATGCATTCAACAGAGAAGTTAATCTTTTATATAGAAACCAGGAATAGTACTTTCAAGATTACCATGCAAGCAAGTAAAAATGTGAACTGGAATGCAACACTGCACACATGTTCACAAGACACTGCAATCTTGAACAGGTCACTCAGTACTGATTAAAATACTTTGCCTTTAATTCATGAGATATATGCAAGGAAAAAAACATTAACCATCTCATTTAGAAATGCAGAAGTCAAATGTTTTCTCCAAGCTCAACAACTCCCAAGCTGTTTCATTTCCTCCTCCGTTTTTTTCTTACTTACAAGTATTGCATTCATTCCTGATGCAATGCCATAGATCAAACCTGAGAGGCGTGCTGCATATGTATACTCTTTTAAATCATCCTTCAATAACCTGATAAACAGGTATGTCATGTTGCAATGGAGAGGATCAGCATAAATGTAGCGACTAACAAAAAGAAAAACAAAAGAAATGCTTTGATACCTCAAGCAGTGACAAAGTAATGGATGAAGAAACATGACTGAAGAGTATGTATATGCAGCCTCATGATCAGTAGTTCTTGAACAGGAAAGCTGAAGCGTACCATTTATTTAATAGCATGAACAGGGGGTCTTCTACCCCGTCAGTCAGAAAGTTTTTAGTAGATATCTGACAAACTGAAATAAATATGTAAGCTTGGATTAGGGTTGCTTTTTTCTTTTTTTAAAATGGAGGAATAAATCTTACAACTAATTAATTTCATGAATGATATAAAAATAAAGAAGAAAATTTGTTTAATATAAATGAAAAGATTGTTGAAGACTTCGAACAAAATTCAACTTAAAGCTCAAATTAAAGAAAGGATGGTTAATAACCAAGATCAAAAGGAGTAACAGCCTTAGACCCATTTTTGAAATAAAAATCCTTCCATCAAATCAATATAAAAAATGTTGATGAGTGGAAGTAGTTTTAAGGCTCAAAGCTTTTCCTTGATTTGGGTACTTACATACATCCCATAGATGGTATTTTGGAGATCATAGTTCAAGCCAGCTAGTTCTGCTGCATATGCATACTCGTTGAGGGAGTCTTTGAGTAGTTCAAGGTACAAATAAGCCATGTTACAATGCAAGGGATCCACGTAAGCAAATGGGCTGGAAGAAAATGGTGAAAGTAAAATATGCAGTTTAAAATTATTTTTCAATTTCTTTTGGCCTTTTAAGTTTGATCTGAAGGAAACAATATTTACTGTGAGTATGCTGACAGATCCCATTACGACGGATTCCTGTTTTGAATCTGAATATGAAGACACCTGGAAATAATTATTTAGCTTGCTTATGGTTTGAGCAATGCCTAAATATATTGAAGATTCCAGAGGTATTCTCTTATTTGTACTCATAAATCAAGTCACGTTATATTTACTTTGCTGCACAGTCAGAATTCATCAGAAGTAAAATAAACTAAATACACTCTGAATAACCGACATAATTTAATAGACTGAAATGAAAGCCCATGTGCTGAACATTAATTTAATTAATACTTCTACACTATCAGAAAACAAAGTAGTTTCTATTACAAAAATTAAGAGATTAGCAATTTGTTGTATGAAAAATACGAACTACATGCTAAGTTCAGCTCAGGAAAGAAGTTTGGCATATCCACTTTCATTCCACCATAATTTTTTGTGTTATCTTTTTAACGGCAACAACTACACAAGTTCTACTGTTGTATTAGAAGCATCTGATCACGTACAATACTGCAGCAAATTTCTCAAAAAGAAAAATGCAACTCAAAGACTCAAGCCATGTTTCAACTGCGCTAATGGTTAAACATCTGTGTTTAAAGATTTGCAAAGACAAGACAAGTTATTTGTACTATGAGTGAATATGCATTTCTAAAGCTTCTGAAGTGCATGTAAATTCATTATCAATTTCACAGAAATAACCAGCAGCATGTAAAACCAGTTTGCTGTCAGGATATGACTTACAGTTCAAAACCACATCATTTGCACTAATCTTCCATAAGCAGTCACTAACGGTCATATTCAGAGACATGCTATTATATATGTATTTGCCTATATAGCATGGTATTTCATAGTGTATACCAACATTAATTTAGTAAAACAAAGATCACATCACCAGAACGCACATGCTGATAACTTCAAAATACATTGCAAAGGTATTTTTAAGAAGGTTCCTAGTAGTTTTTAATAAGGCCTTGACTTCTTCCTTTTAGATTAAGGGAAGGAATCAGAGAAAAGATAAAAAAGATTAAAAAAAAAAAAAGTCTATTGGAGAAGGGAGCCTGCTGTAGTCTGAAATCTTAGCTAGAATATGCTTTTTTACTACCACTGGGTTAATTATTCTGGGCTTGGGCTTGTGTAACTTAAGCAAACATGCCGGGGGGGAAGTCTCTGCTATTTGCATTTCTCCCTACAATAAGAATTTCCCAAAACTGAGCAATTTCAATATGCCAAATGCTGCAAATCCAATTAATTCTGAATTTTTTAATTAAGACTGAATTCAAAGCAAGATGTCAGTCTATCCTATGTCATTATAAACCTTCCTCCAAACTCATTATATTATTTTCCATTTAGATACCAGAATAGAGACTTAATCAGTTTGAGTGATTACTACGTCTGTATCAGTTACAACTTCTGTAAACTCATTTAGCCGGCAAAGGCCAACAGGGAGTTTCAAAAATAATGAAGACTACTAAATCATTAATCCAAGTGAAAAATAACAGAAAACAATTATTATAACACTGCTCTGTGAGTTGCCTTCTATTACTAACAACTTTGTAAATAAATGCTTTTTTGACTAGTCTTGAGGAAGCAGAACAACTCAATCACTGACAGTATTTGAAAAATCTTAGTCTAGTCTTTTCCTCTTTCAAACAGGGCTGTAATTGACATAGGGGGAATCAACACTGTGTGTTGATCCTGGGTTACCTTATGAGCAACTCAAGTTGCTTGAAATATTTCCTAAACTGGAAGGTAGCGAGTACCCAGTTAAAAATAGTTAGCATTGTATTTTTAACATCCATCTCTAAACCCTGGGAAACTTGAACTGGAGAGTTTATAACTACCTTTAGAAAGTTTTCAAAACAGCAGCAACTACATTGTTATGATGCTTCCTTTTAAACAAGGATACTTGTTGAGTTCTTAGGTCATAATTCATAAGGAGGCAAAAGCTTGTCAAGCAGCCTAAAGGATGATGGTAAGTCTGTGTCAGAGGTTTTTATTGTGGTGTTTCTTTAATGCAAGACTTCTGCCACGTGTTAAGGATTTTCAGTTTTGGAACAAAGTGACTTCAAGAGGTTCATATACTCTGATAGTTCCTATGGGATTTGTATGTTTGTATCATCAACCTCCTCTTAATTCATCTACACAGCAGTGTAGATGGTGCTATAATATCTGGGTCAGGAATTCTTCCAAAGATTCGTGATGATCAGGGCTGCAGGCAGAAGAAATCCTCCTCCTTTTTGCAATCTTACTGAAGCAGCCTGTATTATGAACAAATTCTTGTAATCCAAGGCAGCATAGCCATCATATTCTGATCTAGAATTGAGGCTAAAACTTTTTATGAAAACTCGTGTTATTAAGATGTCTTTATTCACCAACTCACTTGGCCAAAAGAGCTATGCATAATTTCATCAAGTCTCATGAATAAACACTACACATTTCTCCATTTCCTCCGATGACCATCAGCATCACCAGTCTCAAAAAGAGAGAGATTCACTAAGAATCTTTCTTAAGTATCAAAACCAGACAAACCTGCTTACAACTTCTTTGGCCAGTATTACCAACATCTCCTCACATCCGTTCATATACAATTACCACCTTATTTTTAAAGAAAAGCAAAGGACCCTTGTCCCCCACCCTAAGAAAAAAAGCCAGGTTTCCACCTGTAACCATTCCTGGGAAGAAAGAGGCAAATCACTCCACTACATTAGCCAGCAAAGCTCAAGTACTCCCTTGTGTGCTCTACGTAAAATCAGTTATCTTTTAATCGTTCACAAACTGGTACAGAGACTGGAACACTCACAGTTCACTTGGAACTGATTTAAAAAAAAAAAACAAACCCACAACTGTGTAACAAACTCAGTGTCCATCAATAAAATCCTGTTTTGGATTTTAGCCAAACATAGTACAAGGGAAAGCCACCAGGTATGCACAAAGAAGTCAAAGTATTGCAATTGTCGTTCTCTGAATAAGAGCTGAGCAGTTACCATTTTGATCTTCTACTTCCTTATACACCGAAGACGAAACAGTTGTAATGTTTGCCCTGTGGTTTCAAAAAGCAAAAAGAAAGAGGAAATGCCCAGGCAACCTATCTTCCCCAACTAGTACCAACACCAACACCAAGATCTGACACCCTCTGAAAAAACCCTCCATCTAAAAATCTGTCAAGAAAAATTTCAAGTGCTCACTTAAAACAAGGACTGAACAGTGCACCTAACAAGCGTGTACCAGAGCCAATATAACAGCCTTCCCAGCAATATCACAGAATCATTTAATGAGGCCAAAGGAGCAGAGTTCCTGAATTTATTTTCACTTTCAGTAGTCCAGCACAGAAATAGCTGCACTTTAAAGACAGCAGTATCTTTTTTTAATTCAAAAGTTAGAAATTATTACTTGAAAGGAACACTAAGAAGGTACATCATTGTCATGATAACAAAAAAAAAAAAGAAAAAAGAAAAAAAGGGTAATTTTCCTGTGACAAAAATGACGTAAGCCCATAATTAACATTATACACTTTATCATGAGGAGAAAAATCACACATTCATGGCTAATACACTGCCCTTCAGAAAAAAAAAAAAAAAAAAAAGAGCTGTCAGTGTCAGTGAAATAAAATCACATAATTTTAAGCACTTAAGATTTTTATACTGGCTTGCATTATGCAAATTAAAACAGAATTTGAACCTAAGACTATTATCAGAATAGCACTTTATAAAGAAAACACCATCTTAAAATAGCTGTGATTTAGTCATTAAAAATAAAACACACCCATTTTTAAAGAGTTACATTGCAATATGTAGTAGGTCTTTTTGACAAGCATATTTTACGTACAGCAAAGAAAATTTGTTATAAACCTTCTAGATTAATTTCTCCTGTTGCTATAGATGGAGCACCTCAAACTGCTTAACCTACATGAGCCTTCCTGCTATCTGTATCTCACTGTGTATTCCCAAGTAAGGAGAAATGTTTTAAAGCCTCAATACATGCAAGAAAGTTTTTGCCACAGAAACGGAGATTCCCAACAAACAAGAAACTTCTGGAGAGCAATTTATGTGATACACTTAACATTGCATACCTGAAAAATTCAAAGTTGAGACAAGCTTTCGGCAAAAAAAATTTGTCATCTTGCTTGAACCACAGTTTGCTCATAGCAGTGTCCTGTGTCAAGAAAAGAGGTTTTGTTAAGTCACCTAACTTTTAACCGTAATACACCACACTTAAAGTCTCTTCACCACTTCAAATCTCACTTTAGTGTTGTCCCCTTGCATCCATCCATCCTTATTGAGACTCTCTTCTTACCATGTCACCTTAACAAGCAGTTAAATGGCTGCCGCACTGTGAATGAGCTTATGAGCTTCTTATAAAATTGGAACTACCCTTCTAGAGCAGGAGTGATCGAAGGCAAATACAGAGCTAGCTTCACAAAATTCCCTGCTAATGCTGGCATTAAAAGTTGTGCCATTATGCAGCACTAAAGCAGCATACAGTCACATGTTTTAGACAAAGAATATAATTGTGTATTTAACGCTTTTAGTGAAAAGTATTAATGCATTGTATGTTGTTTTAAAGTAACAGTGGTAACAAAAACACATACACATTTAGAAAAAGTAGTAAAACTAGTTGGGAATTGGTTAAAACATCTGTCACCACAATTTTTTAGAATAATCTCCTAGTACAGGAAAGAATCTAAACAACCTACCCTACTGCTTTTTCTCCCACAAAACCTGTGAAATATATTCTCTCTCTCTGTTCCAACTCTAGTTAACTTTATCCCCTCAACACTTTTTCTTTAAATTACTATACATAAGAAGAGTGAACTTTTAAATGTAAAATTATTTTTCTCTCATATATTTGAGCAGATGTTCTGTGCTTCTCAGGGATTTGGCATGGTATTTTCCTCCTCCTTTTTGCATAAAACAAATGTCTCATCTCTTACAGCACACTTTCCTCTACACAATATTGGACTCATACTAAAAAGCCAAATTACAGCTTCTCTCTGAGACAAAAAAAAATTTATTCTATTAAATTGCTGCTATGCAGTTGAGAATACATCTTTCATCAGGGACAGAATGAAGTACAGCTGAGCCTGTCTGTAGTACTGGAGACCTGATCCAATAGCTGGAGGTTGCTACCTGCAGTCCACAGTAACAATTCAGCCCTCAGGCCAAAGTCCATCTCCTAACCGCCTTCTTTCCTGAAGGTTTTTCAAGGCAAGATGTGCCATTACAACAGAGATAACCTAGCAACACGCTGCCAGTGAAAATGGCCATCCTGTTCCTGCACTTATGTTCCCACCCCTCCCTTTCTCCCCAACACTGGTCCAGTCCATAGCAAGCTCACAGCTCACTTAAGCATATAAAACAGCAAAAAAATTGCTTTTGTTTGTACAGATAATCTCTGCTAATTTAGTTCTTGCGATGTTTTGCCATGAGATCAGACAAATGCCAGGGCCCACAAAAGGAAAATGGCACAGACATACAGCTGGGGAGAAAATAAAGAGATGCAGGCAAAATAGATAATGTCTATTTCATCAAGTACAGAAGATTAAAAACATTTTCACTCTCAGAAAACGTATTTTAAAGGCAAAGGAAAAACTACAAGCAAATACATTTCCAAAGCAGTGATGGCTTAAAGCAAAGCTTTTGTGTGGATCAATTGCCTAGTTGCTACAGAGACAGTGAAGGACCACCAGGTTTCTGTAGCAAACGAATGAGTGTTACTTAATAGAGCTGTAGTATGTGTCTCTGCTGAGGTTTAGAGTTTCAGTTCATGATGAACATAAACATATGCTAAACGTCCTCTTCTGTTAATACTACTGCTCAAAGTACATACCTAAAATGCCCTGTGCAGAAGAAACATGTTTTCCTAAAGGATGTGTAAGTATTAAAGTAGACTTATATTAATCTAGTGAGCAAAAAGTATTCCTGAATTGAGTATTCAAGCTGAAGCACATGTAACTGCAGAAGACTCTTCCTATTCATCCTCCAACTAAGCCTAGAACAGACATAAGCATTAGCAAAGACAACTACACTTTAGTAGTGAAAGTAATTTTTAGTAAATTTTAGGTACTCAGAAAAACTGAGATTTGCTAAACATATTGAGATCATTAAATGACGCTTCCAGAGACTGGAGAGTTATGTTTACTTACATGTTTACATTTTTCTCTCCCTTTTTCCTTGCAATCATAAGCTTTTTCTACACACATTTACAAAACAATAGCCTTGTCTACACCCTCAACTTACTCAACACCGCCCCCCCCCCAAAAAAAAAAGGAGTGGCAGTCACCCTTCTGCTGAATAAACAGCTTTAATACTGTTTGTATCAATTGTTAACACACTTTCAAAAGAGCAAAAAGAGTCCAAGCTGTTTGTAGATTCATTTTTGTAGGAACCCAAATAGTCATAATCCAAATTTTAGCAAGAATGAACTTTCTACTGTCTTTCTAGCAGTATTTTTAAGTTTTGTACTTTGTTATTATACTTGGGAAAATGACATGATCTGTATTTTAAAAACACATAGAAATTAACTGCTAACCTCCCAGAAGGTTAGCTAGCAAACAGAAGAGATACAAATAGCTTACCTTGACAAGGGCAGGGTACTGTGTTGCATCTTTTTCCAATGGCAAAATCTCAAAGTTAGTAGGAATAAACTCATTCTTCATTGGAAGCTTGAATTTCCCATTCAGGTCAGCATTTTGCCATTTCTAGACAAATAGGAGAAACAACAATGCTAAGTAGAATTTCTGCTTAATTAATGGATATATACGTATTTATTTTATGCTGTAACAAAAGATTTTAAAGTGTGTTCCACCAGCTTATGTGTAAATACTATTAAGGTAGCAGGGAAAGACAGAAGTATCTGGGAAACCAAGCTAGAGTAGGCTATCAGCAGGATGAAGTGCTCCAAGGAGGAAGACAAAAGATAAAAAATAATTCTGAAAAGTTTATAGAGTGGAAGGTCGTTCTATGTCTCATCTTTTCTGCTACTTTGAACTCTAAATGAAGGTATTACATCAGCAAGAATTCTAATCAAGAACACAGGCATGGACAAGCTAAAGGAAGTGAAGTGTTCCTATGCAATGCCTGTGCAGACCATGCTCAGCAGGTCCAATCTAGCACTAGGGTGTATTTTACAGACACCTCTTCTTAAAACAACAGATCAATAACAAGTTTCAATAAGGATGTGCCCACCTCCTTTGGAGTTTTGATTTTTAGAAACTCACTTAATTCGCAAAATATACTCATTTGCTAAGTTGCAAAAATCTATTTCAGGAACACAGTTACATATAGCAGCTGTAAAAACATTCCTTTCTTAAGAACGGGTTAGTTCACTAACATCTATTAGAGACTTCTAAGTTTTAAAAAGTTAATGCTTACATTTTTAAGTAGCCATTGCATACTATGGATCTTTTACAGAAAAAAGGTATAACACCTCCTGTACTTAACATGGTTTAAAACCATTAAAATTTATCTGTCCTACGTAATAAACATTTCAAATATTGAAATAAAACACTAACATAACACCCTTACTTCTCGCAACATCAAACAGACTCATTGTACAATTTTCATGCTATATAGAGCAGCAGATTTAAGTTCTGCCTCCAACTAAACAGAAAATTAGACAAAGAATTTACCACAGTCTTTCGCTCGCAGATATTAGAAGATATTAAAAGTTTTAACATGCCTTAATAACTTCATCAGAAATTGCTTCTTGCTTGTACTGTGTTCCATACCAGTCTTCTGTTCGATCAGTTCTTCCTTCGAAAGACTTGGAAACTATTGCAACTCTGAAAACAAAGAGACAAAGCACTTTGGCATGAATGTGTCTGAGAAAAGACTGTGAGAAATTATTCAGAGCATTATTTCTGTTCCATCACTAGAATGCATTTATTTCTGGGAATGGTCCCTGGACAATTACAGAGTACACTTGGATAGCAGGTATACACGTACTGAACTGCATACTAAGATTAACCATGAAATCAGGTTACCAGCATCATTTAATGTTACTGTTTTTCTGAAGTGTTACAACCTAGAGTTATGCACATAATTACTGTTGCATGCAATTTCTATTTTTTAGACTTTGTCATTGTTCTAGAAAGCACAGAAAGAAGTCCTTGAGGTGGTCTACAGAATTAATGAAGTGACTACAGCATTTTTCATACCACCTGTATCAACACTTAGGTATGTGGAAATACTGACTATAGAAGTTTTATTCCAGACCTAGCATTTTAGATTATATTATTGCAGTTTCACTCTGCCATTCATAATGCGATGGTAAGAGAGTTTTTCCATTTTGTAGCATTCTCATTTCAGACTGATACTCGTTTCTCCCCTTTTTTTTGAGGGGAAGGGAAGAAAAGCAGGAAGATTAATGTACTTTACAGTCCATAAAACAGAATTATACTCAATTAGAAACCTAAATCTTAGAATATCTCAAGTTGGAAGGGACCCATAAGGATCAAGTTCAACTTTCTGCTTCTCACAGGACTACCCAAAACTAAACCATATGACTAAGAGCATTGTTTTTGAACTGAAGAATACACCTAAATAAGAGGAAATCCAGAACAAAGAAAATTACAAACTTATCAGTATTTTTTCACTAGTCTTCATAATAGGTATCAAGGAAACTCCTTTAATTCTTTTTAACAACCTACAACATAAGAGAGTATTCAATGGAAATAAGAAACTAGTTTTAAGAGTAAATAGATGTTTAGAAGGATTCCAAAATGGCCAAAAAAGGTAGCACAACTACCTCCTACATATATTTAACAATCCCTAGATGCTGAATAGCACAGAAATGAACTTTGTCAAATCTTGTGCAGATGGCTAAAATGCATCAAAATACATGCAATGTTAAGTGTTCTTTTTTTTAAATCACAGTATCTTCAGGGCAGGAACATTCTGCTGTGTATTTCTAATGTGCATGACAAACTGTGGCATAAATCAAAATGGGCATATGGATGTGCCTCAAACTATAGTATTTTACTTTACAAATATGTTGCTTAGAATACCCTTAGGATGAACTTTGCAATACACTGAAAAGTTTAAATACATGGACTATTAATATTGTAAATGCGTATGTCCTCATAGGCATTCTTTTCACTCCTTTGTCATCTAATGTTTACACATAAGTCACTAAATGATCCACAAAGGCTGAAGAAAGCAGAATTCTGCTATATTTAGTTCCAGACTCCCCTATCATGAAGATTTTCAAATTATTAATAATTTAATCTGTTCATTGCAGTTCGATTAGCAGGAGAACAGTGGGGTAAAGAGCTAGCATTAAATGCATTTAAATAAATGACATGCATCTCAAAGTCACATGAGACTGTAAAGACATTCTTTAGCAATAGATTCAAAACCCGAAGCATGGCTGCACCACAGACTGCCTAATTTTGAGACGATACTTTAAATCACACGTACTACAGAGGGGCAATCAAATCTCATGCTTCACGGATGCAGATTTCCTTGGGGTTGAGGAAGGGAGAAATTTTTACTTCCCACCTTTGAAAGAATCACATGATTAGCATGAGCATGCACACACACACACATGCACAAAACAACCTCTGCTCCTCTACAAAAGTTACGCAATATCCAAGCCAGAATGAGAACATTCACCTTCAAGAGATACACTACTTCATCTCTCATTGCAAACGGCAATAGAAATGGACCATATTTTTATTGTGACTTCATACAAAATGGTTTCGGATCTGTTTGCACGTTACATCTATTTTATTTTTTATTCAAAAGGAACAATACTAAACAAGTATTCAGCAAAGAACTAAGCACTTTAATCCTAGAGAATATTTGTTCTTGCAACACACCAGACACCAGCTTGGTCAACAAGGTGAAATCTATTAGATAGATTGTTGTTTACATTAAGATGAGCCACAGAAATAGTCCTGTTTTAACTTGGACAGCTGGTGAGCAAAAGCTCTATCATGTACAGATGAAGTTGCTAAGAGACTATAAAAACCATAAAGTCTATTAGAATTTCAGTGCTACCTACCAGGCCTTTCTGTCCATTAAACAAGAAAAAAAGAAAAAAGACAACTCAAGCTAGAAGATTGTCCTGATAAAATTCCAATAATCATGCAGTCTGAGCAGCAAGACAAAGGTGTTTTATGCTATAATACATAGATGTGCTATTTGACATTCCCTCCTTCTACCCTTCTCCAACACACCAATGCTCAAGCACTAGTGACAATCCAAGCACCCAAACATTTGCTGTAGGAACATTAAAATTAGAGCTAAAAAAAATTCTGTGTGCTCAACATACAGAAAATGAAACTGTGGAAATCAGCATTGCAAGTCTTCAAGCAGTTCTGTTTCAAGGGACCCTCCTGCCCTCCCTACACCCCAAATCACTACTGGAACGATTACTCTCTGGAGCTCCCAGAGATGTACCCACAACCACACAAAACAAACCAAAAGACTGAGATTTAACAAACCATCTGCCTGAGAGTTACAACCTAAACCAAGATATAAGCACCAAAGGCAACAAACACCAGGACACAAAGAGGGGAAAAGAAGCACCACAGGTAGAAGTACAATGCTATGAGGTTATTTAAATGTATAATGATGCATCTTTACAGTTACCAATTATGTGACATTACTCATGCTTTTCACGTCTGTGTTGTGCTGTATAGCACTATGAACATCCACATGGTTTAACACAGCGTTGAAATGCACTGGAAAAGCAAGACAGGCAAGCAGGCAATCTAATAGGACCTGCTTATAACATATTTAAACTCAACCATTAGGTTTCTGATCCATTCATGAACATGGAACACAGTTGAAATTATACATGCAATTTACATACATTCTTGTACATGCAACTGTTGCAGTCCTCGGTTATGGTCAATTTTCAATAACAAGCACCATTTCTATAATGTGATACACATTTACTAGACACCAACTTGTTTTTCACTCTCTTGAAATCTAAAACGAAGCTACAAGTGGCAGATCCACAGATAAGCGGTACTTGGGAAGCAAATGTGTTCTTCAAAATGAATGTAAGTCCAGAAAAGATTATCAACTATTATATTTCAGATTTACATAACAAAACTCAAACTTCTAAGGGTGAAAAAGTAATACACTTTGAGACCACAGTATTTGAGATATTAGTAACAGACATGTCAAAGCAAATTTGTTGCAAAGAATGACTATACACTTAAAAAAGAACAATTGCTTCTTTTAGGAACTAATTTAAACTTTGTCTTCCAAATTATGATAACGTCAAACAATGGAAAAATAAATTATTCAAATGCATAAAGTAACATGACTGAGACAAAACCAGCAAAAGCCCAGATTTGTTTGTAACTTCCTGCAAAACATCACTAAAACCAATGTGAGGCAATACAGATTATTCAAAGCCACTTTCACACAAATCTCTTTAGAAAACAGAGTAAGAGGGGAAACTACATGCAGAAAGATGTTGCTGGGGTGCAGCATTCTAATCATTCTGCAGAAGCACAAGGGGCTTTTTAGGGTTCAATAAAACTAAGTCTCTCCAAACACTATGGTTTGTGGGGGGGAATAAGTGAACAAATTGTGATATTCAAAATCTTTACTCAGATACAAAGCAATTAAAAAATAAACACATACATTCCACATTTGTAACATGTTTATCATCAGGCATAAGCATCAGCAACTACATTGAAATAACTGTTTGCTCAGTATCTGTGAAATTCTAGCCCTTAGAAATTTCTGTATCAACATTTTTGGCATTAATTTTATTTTTCTTCCCTCTAGGATAGTACTAGTGCTGTATTTCAGATATCAGGAGATGAAAAAAGTTCATTTACTATCCAGGGGAAAATGTTCCTTAGTTGCTTAATCTGATGAGTCACCAGCTTCTTAAATTTTAATAAGAGCATTTATTCTGCAGATGATGAGGAGAAAAAAATTCTATTTGAAATGATGGGAAAATTATATTTTTCAGCTAAGACTGCGACACATGCCAAGTCTATTCCCTTATCTTCACAGATGGCTGGCAAAACCCAATGCAGTTTGAACAAGTAAAAATGATACTTGCATCTTTAAAAAGCTTTCTCTCTTAGGGAAATTAAGCCACTAAACGCAACAAGTAGTGTGCGGGGGTGGGAGGGGGGAGGAGAATATGAAAACTTCCTGTTATGGTTCAGTCAAATAGAAGCACATATGGATACTTGCTGCCATCTGTGAGTATGGATATTTTTCCGTACTTTTTAAAAACACAGTTTGTTAAGAAAATAAGAGTCAACGAGCTAAACTTTTGAAAAAGACATTGAACAGCAGTCTCTAACTGTGAATGCAGCTACCCCAATATAGATGCCAAGAGAAGTCCTTAGTGTATGTGAATTCCAATAGGGTTATGAAAAGGAAATTACAAATAAAACCACAATACAAAGGAAAAATTCAAATCAATGGAAACTAAACCATTGCAAGACACAATTTACGCAAGGCATAAAAAGAAAAAAAAAAAACACCAAAACAGAGTAAGTAAAAACCCCAAGTAAAGTTAGGATGACATGGCACATACTAATTCTTTCATTAAAAGGAAGAACAGAAAGGTAAACATCAGCATAAGCATCAGTAAATGGCAGATAACCAGATCAAATATAGATATTTAAAAGCACATGTCCATGTTTTTTAATCAGTACATACAATTTGCTCAAGCAAAGAAAAAAGAAGGAAACTAGCTACTGGACTGATAGTTTACTACTTGCATATACATACATATATAATTTTAAAAAATGTAAAACACAAGGGGACCCTTTTATTAGCATCTGCAATCTCAACTTAT